CAGAATTTGGGTCAGGCTGTTGGAAACAGAGATCAATTCACCTCAGAAACAAGAACAGCATTGACTGGGGAGAGTGGCACCATTTGTGACGCAATTCCCGAGACGTCACAGACAGGTATGACCCTGACATGCTGGCTGAGCGTATGCAGATGAGGTGGACCGGCAGAGGGCTCAGGCTCCACACGTGGCTGGGAGGCAACAGCCAACACACTCCTCTCTGGATTTACAGAGAAACACACACAAATGCTCTCCATACCCCAAAAATGAATGCTCCCAGGCTGCCTGGTAGATTCTCCAGGTACCACTTTGGAATTACCAAGTCCCAAAAGAAGTTCAGAAGTCTCATTTATTTATTATTTGGTCCGGTTGTCACTCTGTCACCCAGACTGGAGTGCAGTGGCATGATCACAGCTCACTGCAGCCCCAAACTCCTGGGCTCAGATGATTCTCCTATGCCAGCCTCCTGAGTAGCTGGGACTACAGGCATGTGCCACTACAGCTGGCTAATTTTTTGATGTTTGGTAGAGACAAGATCTCACTATGTTGCCCAAGCAGGTCTCAAATTCCTGGACTCAAGCAATTTTCCCCCCTCAGCCTCCCAAAGTGCTAAAATTATGGGCATGAATCACCATGCTTGGCCAGAAAACTCTTCAAATCACCAAAACAAGGATGGGTGGGGGTGGAGGAAAGATATTCTTTAAAAACGTTCTTCCATTATTGTCTGAGTACTAGTCAAACTAACAGCCAACAGCAAGCACATGATGGCAGGCACCTGTCACGTAGCACCTCACTCAAGTGTCACAGTCCTCAATGACAGGTACTGATTTCCCACTTTAAAGTAGTTTGTGCCTCTAGGGCCTAGGAAATGCAGGCAGGGAGTGGCAAAGCCAAACCAGCTGGCTCTAAAACTTATGCTCCTATACACTACAACTTATGACCTGCTAATTAAAAAAAGCATTTCCAGAGGCCAGCAAAATGCTGCATTTACACATGCACCTTAAGAAGATGTCATGAGTGAGTCCCAACAAAGGTATGAAAGAGACTTGGGACACTAAACATTCCCATAAATAGAAAGACTCACCCAGGGACTATCTAGGTCAGGGACTGATAAGCAATTCTGGTAAACAGGACCAGACAGTAAATATTTCAGGTTTTGTAGTCTCTGTGGCAACTACTCAAGTCAACCCACTGCAGTGGAGAAGAAGCCACAGATGGCACCTAATCAAATGGGTGTGGCTATGTTCTAATCAACATTATTTACAAAAACCGGGACCAAGGAGGATTTGACCCACAAGAGACAGTTTGCTCACTTCGCCTTAGACCATGGGAGTCCTGGAAAACAGCCTAGTCAATGAGGACCATGATCAGATGAGCATTTAGAATAACCTATGGTAACTGCTGAACGATGGATTTGGAATGTTCCATGAAGTAAATACTGGTATTATCATGTTTCTTTGTTATTGCATTTGTTATAAACAAATGGGGGTGGCTGTTTCCCAAAAAAACTTCATTTACACAACCAGGCAGAGGTCTAAATTTGGCCCACAGACCATAGTTAGAGTTCAAACCAGAAACTCTAATAAATCAGTAATCATTGAAAATCAGTTACCACAATTCTTCAAACACCTGCTATAGACACTGAAGCCCCATTGATAGCATACTGAGAGTCTCTGATTATATGAATATGGGGAAAAAACAAGAAAGGAGGTTTTGTATTCTGCTTCCTTTAACTGGATTCACTCACACCAGATACAAATCCCAGAAATGCAGGATCAACTCTTCACTCTTTTAGAGAAGACATTCTGGCAGTACTGCACATGGGCTATGTTTGTAGCAGAGACTGCAAACCAATGGCCCATGTGTCTTCAATACTGCTCTGCCAGCCCAGCTTAAACTGTCTTTGTACCAGCATCTGACATTACTACAGTCTTTGTACCAGCATCTGACATTAACTGTCAGAGCTGCCTGCCTGTCAAAGTTCCTGATACTGATGATTTCAAGGGAAAGCACACATCATCAGAATGGTTCTTCAGCTTTCAGGACTTGCTTTGGACTATACCAATTCCTGGTACAATCCTCTTGCTCAATTCAAGTTATTGGTGCCCTGGGGGGAAAGGCTAGGCTTTCACATTTGAAATAACAAAAGCCACTTATATGTTTGAGAATATTCTTAAAAAGATGTTAAATATTGTTTGTTGTTTCTACTTGTTCTCCAAAGTGGCAGGGAGGAGGGCAATTATCCCCCTATGTGTGAAGACATTTTGATTGTCACAAGGGAGGTTTTACTAGCCTGTAGTAGGTAGAGACCCCAGAGATGCTGCTAAAATGCTACCATGCACAAACAGCCCCCACAACAAAAACTTATCCAGTCCCAAATGTCAATAGCACCAGCTAAGAAACCCTTTAGTGGGTTCTCTCCACATGAGATTACAAATACCTCAAGTACATAGACACAGTCCAATTAAATTCCAAAAACTCAGCTCTAAGGACACTGACTGACATGCTAAGTTGATTAGATGAAAGAGAAAACTAGCAGTGTGAGTTAGACCTGCTGATGCGACCTGTTTATTTAAGAAAGAGACAAATTATTTGCTAAAGTTCATGTATAAAGAAGTTGAAATAATTTCTATCATTTTTTTGAGATGCAAAGTCCTATGATTATAAGCATATAAGGTAACTGAAATTCTAACATACTATTCTGGGATTTTTGGTAACCTAAAAAGAATAACAAAATATCTCTATGAGGTTGAAAAGACCAGATCTCATTATCCTTTAGAATATGGAAGAAGGCTTCCCTATGAGATTTTTAGTAGTATACAAGAAATAAAAATAGCCAAAACAAATGCAGAAATTGAAGGTCTATGTAATTGTCAATTCATATAGCTTCTCCTGCCCATAAAAAAAGGTTTGACGTTCTGAGATAAAGAGAAGAAAAGGACTCCTGAGCTATTCCCCTTTCCCTACAAAGCTATAACACAAAATTCACAGAACCAGAATCTTCAAAACAGCACCTGTGTAAGTTACCTATTACATCATACACATTGGTAGCACCAATGGCGACAAGTGTCTTTTATTTTCCCTCTCTGATGTTTTACCCATCAGAAACACTGAGTAACGTTACAATCAGGAAATGTTACAGAAGATGTAAGTCAATGAGTAATTTTTAAATATACCTTCTGAAAAACTACCTAGTTGTTTTTGGGGTGAGCTCCTAAAATGGAGTCTCATTTTTCTTTTTTCTTTTTTTTGAGTTGGAGTCTCACTCTGTCGCCCAGACTGGAGTGCAGTGGCCGTTCCCAGCTACCACAGCCTCGACCTGCTGGGCTCCAGCGATCCTTCCGCCTCAGCCTTCCGAGTAGCCAGAATTACAGGCACGTGCTACCTCGCCCAGCTAAACTTTTGATTTATTGTAGAGATGAGGTCTCGCCTGCCCAGGCGGGTCTCGAACCCGCGGGCTCAGGCAATCCACTCACCTCAGCCTCCCAAAGGCGCAGGATTACAGGTTGAGCCACCGAGCCCAGCTGGAGTCTCATTTTTTAAATCCGCCAAAAAAAGGTGGCATTTTTTTTTTTCTCAACATCTCAAAAACCAATGCCTACAGCCACTTTTAATGGATTAAAGGCAGATCGTGTGCTCATTCAAATAGTAAACACTGAAAAAGAATTGCTATACTGTTCCTTGGAAGTAACCATCTTTTCCTCTCACACAAATATAAATATGCACACACACACACACACACACACATATATATATATATTATATAATAAAAAAGATTTTTGGATTCTTTCAAAAATAAAAAATATATATGTATAAGTGAGTATGATTGCCCGTGTTTGAACTTACCCTGCACTAAACTGAGTATGTTGCTGCATATATTCAGGAATGATCATTTGAACTTCAGGGCATGTTCCTTGATTAGGTCACAAGCAGAACACTGACCTCTCTTCACCTCATCTCATCGTATTCTTTTAACTCATCTATGTTATTTTTCCCAAGCACGGAGACCACTGAAGCTTTGATTCAATGACTGCACTTTGCCATTGAACTATTACAGCAGGTCATCTTCTGCAGACCAAGTCTGCTCTGGATACTCAGTGACAACTGGAAAGCTGGGATGTGGATTCTCCAAAACACAACATGATCCCAATTCCATCTGCAATTTTTGTTTTGTAACTATTTGTGTATATATACACTTGTGTGTGTATATAAAATATCAGAAAGATATACACTGAAATGTTAATTATGGCTACTGCCTAGAATAGCAGATTTACGTGCAATTTTTTTTTCTTTTGCTTGTCTACGGCTTCCAACTTTTTCTATATTAAGCATAACTTTTGCTAAAAGAAAAATAAGTTATATCCCATATGTGTATTTTTTTTTTTTTTACTCTATATAATTTCAGAAAGAAAGTAAGGCACTTTAAAAAAGGTATCAAGTATAAAAGATGTATTTCAAAGTGAGGGCAATTAGAGACGGGGTGAGAAACAACAATAGTAAAATCTGAAGAAGGCTTAAAGGTTAAAACTCTTAGTCAGTATGTAAGCACCAATGCTATATATTGACTGGAGGAAGGCACTGGCTTCCAGAGAACACTCCTCCTCACCTTCCTCACCTCCCCTTCACCAGCCTTAATTAAGTTTTGTTTAGAGAAATATAATGAGAATATTTTCCAGTCTTCACTGAACACATTCCCACATGAGAGCATGTAGTCCCAGACATGTGCTGAGGGAGAAGGAGCTTGCTGCAAATACAACCAATGGAGCCCTAACTGTACAGACCCATTGCTCTTAGGGGAAAGTGTCCGTGTATACAAGAGCTCAGAATCCCCAAAAGGGCAATGCTTTAACTTTCTACAGGTGCCCCCTCTGTGAAATTCACTGCTCATGAAAACAGTGGCAAGAAACACTCAGTTCATTATAAGACCAAGTCTGGGAGCCTCTGGGGTCCTTTCAAGACCAAGGCATGCTTCAGTGGAGGGGTTCCAGTAGCACAGCACTTACCATAAGCTGTCATGACACCAGCATATGGCCCATCCACCACATTCCTATTTTCTTCTGCCAGTGCCTTGATGTACCTTTTGCTGAGGTCCAGGATCTGCTCACGCAGCATGGAGCTGCTTTCAGGTTGAGTTCGCTGCTGGATGGTAAAATGCAGAAGCATCATACCCCAAATGAAGCCAAAAGTCACCAGGAAAAAGCCCAGCTTCTGAGAGGACAACTTCCACGGAGTAAAGAGAGCCATTGCTCTCTGGCAAAGTCACCTGCCCTCGGCTCTTAACGCGTAGAAGGTAGACACAAGTTCATGGTGCAGCCTGGGTATGCGAGTGTACTGGTCTCACTCGGGCTCCTGCGTCAGCTGATTTCCTCGCCTCACTTCCATTCTCCTGAGAAAAAGGAAGACAGTTAGCAGAGTGGTGGTAGCAAAGCCCAGCAAAACAGCCAGAAGCCACGTTTCGCTTGAATAGCTCTAAATAAAATGTCAACGTTTTTTTAAAATTCACTGGTTCAGTATCTCTGTAAGCTGAGGGGAAATCTGGCTAGGCGACAAGAAGCTGAGCAAATCCGGAGGGGGAAGTGTGTGTCTGGATGTGTTAATAGGTGTAGTGAGGCTGTTCCAGCCTGGACCAAGTTCAAAACAGGAAGCTTGTTTTGCAAGGTGAGGAGGAGATGGAAGGCGATTTCACTGAATGTCAGCAAAAACCCACGCGGAGGGTGGAGTCACATCAACATCATCAGGCATTTGTGTGTGTGTAACTTGAGCTCACAAAGTCATTATTATGTGTTTCTGGCAAGGATTAGAGGATGTAGCTGAGAGGTGAGCAAGAAAGCAGATGCCCCCTCAGGGGTAACTAGACAAGGAACAGGGAAAGACTCCCCTGCATCTCATTTAAGCATGGTCAGCTTTCATTATCGGTGTTTACAGATGAGAGGACTCTCTTGGGGCCACCAGGTGACCTCTCTGGTACACCAGCACAGAGAGAATGTCACACAAATGGGTCTTGCTGTTCTGGCTACATGAGCGAAAGCCTCACTGCTCACTTGCATGCTGCAGCCTGGGAAATGTGGAGCACCTGGCACACAGCTTTTCTGTGGTTCTCACTTTCCCTCCCACCATGCAGCAAAATAAGACATTAAAAGGCAAAGTCGTTTCAATATCGATGCGACTAGATCCTATCTGATACGAGCCCACACTGGGCCGCCGTTCCCAATCAGGACTTTCCAACAAGGGGGCCCTGAGTACGGGTTGCAAATGAGTATGCCCAGACAGCCACCCCTTCAGTCAGAGTCCTGGGCCCAACAGTCAGCCACCTTACAAACAGCACCATTTTCTGAGTGTCCCCCAAGGACGCCCGACAAGGGACTAGCCCAGAGAGCTTTCAGAGTGTGCAAATATGTTTCCATTCAAAGGATTCTTCTTTACAAGCAGTCCAAGAGGAAATGGCAGCAGGCCCTTGGAGCAATTTGCTTTCAGAGTGCAACACCTTGGATCTCTGTTGGTCTGCCTCTCACTGTGTCTCCCTTGTCTATTAACAGAGCAATCAGTAGTTAGTAGCACTAGTAACTAGTAATAACAAAAGTAAATGATAAATAAGTTCTAGCTATGTCCTAGGCATTGTGATAAACATTTTTTTTTGTGCCTTAACTCACTGAATCTTCAAAAAGTCCTGCATGGTGGAAGTATTAATATTATCAGCTCTGTTTTACGAGAAAAAAAGACAAAATAAAGGCCCAGGGAGATTCACTTGGCAAAGGCCAGCCAGCTATGTGGCAGAGGAGGGATCACCCAGGTATGTCTGAAGGGTCAGAAAGTCGTGCCCCACCTTCCCTTCATCATCCTGCCCTTTTAATGGCCTGTTTGTATGTGGCCAAGAAGGGTTTATATATACTTTATGAGTACGAAAAGCAACCAAGAAGAATGTGTAACAGAGACCCTATGCAGCCCACCAAGCCAAAAACATTTACTATTAGCTCTTAACAGAAAAGATTTGCCAACCTCTCCATTCTAGGCTAGTGGTTCTCAAAACGTGACCACAACTCAGTGACAGCAGCATCACCAGTGAAAACTGTGAATTCTCAGGTCCCACTCTCAGAACACCTAAATCAGCAACTCTAGGGGTGAGGCACGCTATCTCTACCTTTAGATGACTCTGCTGCATGCTCAAGTTTCAGAGCCCCTGACCCAGCCAGCCAGATTCCAGGCCCATACATTCGTCCCCGTGTATCACCACCACAAAGCCAGTACGGCTTCAGCTCTGTCCAGCACAACTCTATAAATAAAATACCCAGGTCCCATCACACTACATACCTGCTGGTCTGCTCATCACTATGAACCCTGCTCATCCTTCTTCAGGAGCCTCCCAATCTTCACTCAGCTATTCCTCTCCCACCCTGCTGCCCTGATTTGTATTATGCTGAAAATCCAAACCCAGCCTGTTTCCCCCAGCTCCAGTCACACCTGCCTCAGACCATTGTCCCCATGGCTCCAGCCTGCAATACTCCCTTTCTAGTCTGAAGTCTCAGAACACTTGTATGGAAATGGAATACTATTCGGCCATTAAAGAAGATAGAAGTCCTGCCACTGGAGGCAACATGGATGAATCTGGAGGACATTATGTGTTAACTGAAGTAAGCCAGGCACAGAAAGACAAATAGTGCATGATCTCACTCATATGTGGAAGCTAAAAAGTGGATCTCACAGAAGTAGAGAGTAGAATAGTGGCCACCCAGGGATGGGGAGGGGAAATCGGATGGGAGGGGGGAGAGTGAGAGATGGGTCAATAGGTGCAAAGCTACAGTTAGATAAGAGGAATAAGTTCTGCTGATCTACTGCATAGCAGGCTGACTAGAGTAACAATAATGTATTTCAAAACAGCTAGAAAAGAGGATTTTGAATGGTCTTATCACAAAAAATGATCAATATTTAAGTTGATGATTTGCTACTTACCCTAATTTGATCATTATACAATGTATACATGTATGGAAATATCACGTTGTACCCATAATTATGGCAAGCATTGTGTCAATCATAGATTTTAAAAAATTTTAAAAGGGGGTAGTAATAAATAAAGGAGTATTACAAGTTAAACAAAACACCTACCTTGGATTATTTACCAGTCTTTATGTGGAACCCCATGATATCCTTTACGAAACAATGTCACGCCCCCACCATTCCAAAGGATACCACAGGGCAAAATAAAGTATGTGCTGACTAACAGAATGGATAACCCAGGAAATTATGGCACTTTATTCAGTCCTTCTAAATGCAGCCCAGATTAACAGCACCTTCCCTCTTTCCTCCCCGCATTCCTCCTACAAGTATATACTGAGCACATACTGCCATCAGGACCTGGGTGCAGAACAGTGAACAAAATGGAGTTCCCATCCCAAGGAGCTAATACTTAAAAAGCCATCTCACTAATCTGGTACTGCTCCTAGCTCCTAGGAAGTGGCTCAGCTTCTTTTTTTGATCACCATAAACATTAGTTAATTTTACCCAGGGCTGAAAGATTTTCCCAGGGTAAGTAAATGAGGTGTTATACTGAGAAAGATGGTGTTCTGGTAGTTGTCTTTCACTATTTTAATCACTAGCAGGAAATTACCTGTCCACTTTCAGACAGGAAGCCCTACTCTACTTCCTCAATAAACCCTATAGAAAGGACTCCTCAAGGCTGCAGAGTTTAAGGAGAGAATAAATGCCAGGAAAGAAATGAACAAGTGTTTCATTAGAAGGTAGAAGGCGCCGAGCTCAGTGGCTCAGCCTGTAATCCCGTGCTTTGGGAGGCTGAGGTGAGTGGATTGCCTGAGCCCGCGGGGTTGAGACCCGCCTGGGCAACTTGGCGAGACCTCATCTCTACAATAAAATAAAAAATTAGCTGGGGGTGGTAGCATGCTTGTAGTTCCAGCTACTTGGAAGGCCGAGGCGGAAGGATCGCCGGAGCCCAGCAGATGGAGGCCGGCCACTGCACTCCAGTCTGGGTGACAGAGTGAGACTCCAACTCAAAAAATAAATAAATAAATAAATAAAATAAAATAAAGAAGGTAGAAGGCTTCTCTGCTCTTGACTTGGACAGAGTCAGCCCCACCCAGATGGTGCATTCGAGGGCACAAAGATGGCTGAGAAAACCATCCCAGGAAAAACTGTTCCAGCTCAGAGACATGCAAGTTTGGAGGGAAAAAAAATCCCTCACTATAAGGAGTTCAGAGCACAGTTCTGATTACTGAGGGTTCAGATTTTAAGTGACTATAGAACTGTCAGGAAAGTTCTAGTCTCCAGTGGTTCTAGAATTTGAAATAACAGAAACCATATGGGAATACACAGAGTATACATAATCACAGTAGGAGTCATCTCTATGATTCCTATTAGGAAGACAAAATTTAAGACTTTTCAAAAGCATTATTCAGGGGACACCCTCTTCTCCCTCAGTAATGAGCGGACAATGAGGAGGTTACAGAACAGGCATCCTCACACAGAGTCTTGGTGCCATAAAAGCACAATGGTGATCATCAGAAATAGCCAGGCAATTAACGGAAAAGTCCTAGACCAATAGTGATCAAAGAGTTGTTTCTCAGGCTAAAAATGTGCCCGCCTCCAGACCTTCTAACAGCTGGGTCCTCCTGCTAAGTGGATTCAATGAGTACAAAAGGGAATACACAGTAGATCTCAGAAGAGTCTGTTTGCAACATTAGCCACCCCAATATGCATTCCTTCTATCCTTCTACTTCTAAAAGAGTAGCACTCACTCTTCCCACTCACTCTTCAACACAATAAAAACTGGCTTCCACCTTTCCAAAAGTGGTTGAAGATCTCTGGCAACAAAATGTATCAGTCTCCTGGTGGTGGTGATGATGATGATGATGGAGGAGGAGAAGAAAGAAAAAGAAAGAAAGCACATGAAAAGATGCTTAACGTCATTAGTCATTAGGAGAAATGCAAGTCAAAACCACAGTGAGATATCAACTTCACACCTATTAGGACAGGTATAATTGGAAAATACTGATAACAGCAAGTATTGGTGAGAATGTAGAAAACTGGAGCCCTCATATGCTGCTGGTAGGAATGCAATGGTGCATGCAGCCAGTGTGGACAACCACCTGCAAGTTTCTCAAATAGTTAAAGATGGAGTTGCCATATGACACAAACAACTGTACTCCTAGAAATTATCCCAAGAGAAATGAGAACATTTCTCCACACAAAAAACTTGTACACATATGTTCACAGCAGCATTATTCACAAAAGACAAAGAGTGAAACCACCTGAATGTTCATCAACTAAGAAACAGAGAAACAAAACTGGTGTATCCATGCAAAAGAATATGATTTGGTCATAAAAAGGAATGAAGAACTAATTATGGTACAAAATGGATGACCCTTGAGAACATTATGCTA